GCGAAAAAACAAGCTTAACCGTTGCGCCGCTGCAAGAGATAAAAAGTTTTGATAGCGTTATTTGCCGCCGCTGCCATCAATACATATGCGATCGAATCGAATATTTTTCTTTTAATTTTCATCAGTGAATTTTTAACTGAGACCGCCGCCGTCACATAAAGACTTACAAATATCAGCCGACGCCGCCGCTGTGAAAAAAATTTTAAGAATTTGTAGCAGCCGCCGCTGAAGACATTACTCATTCAAATAGCGAGCCGCTGGAAATCTTTAAAAGTTGAAAATTGTTGCCCGCCGTCGCCATTCAACCCTTCGGCTGACACTTCTACCTACTACAATTAAAAACATTGAATCTATGTCAGATGGAGAATATATATCATTTGCATGTAAAGTAATTGACATCGGTTCTGTAAGCACCTTCAAAAAAATAAGTGAGTACAAAAAGAAAGCTTCATTTGTTTTTGAGGATGATACTGTTTTCTTTAACAATGGGCCAAGACGAATACCAAAAACTAAAAAAAACCATAATTGTAGCTGATAAAACTGATTCTATAAATATGAACATCTGGGAAAATCACTTTGATTTAATAAAAAAGATCAATCTTATGTAATTAAATTAGCAAAAGTAAAAGTTTTCAATGATGATACTTCAATAACAACAACAGTTCATACGACGTGAGTTTAATTTGTGTTGATATTTTGGCAAATTTTTCTAATGATGTCTCGTAACAACTTTTTAACTACATTTTTTTTTATGTATCTTGCTTTCTAATATGCTATTGCAAAACAAAACATTGTTTAATATTGCTAGATATGAAGCAATTGAAGACATTGGTGCCATAAGTTGTTCAGATTCTCTTCAAAATTCAAATGAATCAGGAATAAGAGGTGTCATCACGCCAATCGGTGTACTAGAAGAACGTTATAGCTGTCCGAAATGTTATTCTACTGACGTCGAATGCAATGATAAAACCATCAAATGTATTACATGTAAATCCAGATCACTCTATCTAAAAGATTCGATTAAGGCAAATCAAATTAAACTCAATATAACTGAAAGTGTGGGTGTGGGTGTGGATGCAGCTGTTATTGATAAAACAACACCCACACCCACACCCTCGTTGAGTCGGGGCGGAGTTATTCCAAAAGTTCTGACCGTTACGAAATTTCGAAAAATGAAATCTTTTTGTAAGGTTGAGTAAGACTTTAGCACGTTACTACGAAACAAAGCGACATACATATAAACGGCCTACATAAAATTTCAATTTTCAAGAACATTTCAGAATATCAGGTCATTCCATAACATGCATGGCTGCATTGAATAAAAAAACTAAAAATACTGTTCGTTACCGTATTTCATCTTTTTTTGACTTTTCAATGAGGAGGATATTGGAGTCAATAAAATCATATTATTACAATAAAAATTCATCTTTATTAACCCCCCTCCGCCTAAAAAAGCTCCGTTTCCGTTAGAAAAACTAAAATTAAGATAAGGTGCCGCTAAAGCAGAATTGGAGTAAATTTTCTTTTTCGTTTATTTGTATATGGTTTGATAGAGCTTGAAA